TTAAATATCTTTAGGCAGAACTGTTTATTTCCACTGACCTGTATAAATTATGTTTCCTATTAGATAGATAGATTATTGTTATATTCCTATATGGCCGATACACACAGGAGAAAGCTGAAAATCTACGTATATTATAAAGATTACTGTACCAGCAAGTAAATGGAAAACAATTTGATATGTAGGTTATAGAGAGTTACAAACAGTTGTCATAAGAACATGAACACACTACTGTTTGATGAGTTCTCAATCAGCTGGGTTGGGGTTTTTGAATAACAAACCATTGCTTTTTAGTATTGTGTAGCTGTTTTATGATTGTAGCGTGCCATTGTAAAAGGTCTGTTGTTACTTTACATCAGCGTGTCTTTGAATGCCATCCTGAGGTCATATAAGCCTTCAGGGAATAGTGTCAACGTTCATGACTTGAATGTAAGGAAAATATCCTGACCAGTTTTTGTGTTAATACCTAATCATCGCAAAATTGAGAAACAGTGGAGCTAAATTTCATGCGGCTATATGGCGATCCCTTCACTTCCTGTCCTGAAGATTCAAAGGAAGTGAGAGGAAATTTCACTAAATTGAGCGGAATTCTCCTGTCATCTGAACAGTAGTCCCCATTGGAAGATTTTTCCTCATCTTTTGTTCTGATGAAAGTTTTCTTTTTTTCTGCTTCTACCTTGGAAGAATCAGGACAAACACAGTGGTTGATTCTCCCTAGCAGGAGACAGTAAAAAAAATTGGGCCAATTATGCTATGTCACTTCCATACAAATGAATAACGCCTCAGCGTTGTTGACACCCGGAAGCTTTACAGGCAAATTATTAATGCAGAATGATGGGGATTGACAGATGCTTCATCCAAAGCATATGCATTATAATACTGAATGACTTTGAACCACCCTTACAGCTCCTCACTTTGGCTCTGTTACCCTGTTACTTGTTCAGAGGGTTTGCTGTCACATGACCACTTATAAATGCATCAAATCAAGGTATTTAGAAAGCGTTATTTGAAGTGGTATTAGTGTTTAAAGTGCCGTTAAGGATGCATTTTAGACTTTGCCTTTCTATCAGGAGAAACTTATGCTGATACTGGAGGTGGGCCATCTTATCTTACTTTCAAAATATCCAAATTTTTTAGTTAAAAAAACAGTGCCAGCAGCTGTCATATTTACCTTACTTGCAGCATATCCTAGGCTCTAAAGCTGGAGGTGTTCCTTGAGTTTAAATGTTATAGGACATACCATTAGCATACATCCAAATTCAATTTACATTATTTTCTATTATATAGTATGTAACATATTTGAACAAATCTCGTATAGGCATTATTTGAGTTGTATTTGATATGTTCCGACCAGCAGTTACCTAACCAGCTATATATATTTTTTTTTAATTGCAAGTTAGTGAACAAGAGAAAGATCTGGGCTGTAGAGGAAACACAGGCATTTCCATTTTTAGACAATTTTAGGAAAGTAGTTTTATGTATAAGGCCTAATCAGTCCCTCATTTTCAGCAGTTACTCATATTCCTATACCCCAGAGTGTCAGCCATGAAATGTCATCCCTTGTTTGGATATTCCACAAGTAATGTCATTCACTTCATATAGACAATAAATTAATATTCTGTACAAATGTTTTACTGATTTTTGTAGGTAAAACCGGTGTCTCACAGCAGGATCAATGTTTCAGCAAGATTTAGAAAACATTTTCAAGAGCCATGCACTATTTTGTAAGTAGATTTGTTTATGAAATAAGCATTAGTGATCAATCTGAGATAAAACCACAAATAACTGTCCACCTTTTCTCTGTTGCTAGCCTGATTGCTAATGGAGATGTTATGAATCCAGTGATACGCTTGCTGATACCAAGGAGAGTTCTGGATCAGTGGGAGCTAGTTCTAGCAATGGTCACCGACAAAGTGAAACTGCGAAATGGAGCAGTACACAGGTAAGTGACACTTATTGTGCAGTTACTTATAGTAGTAAGTTACACTTACCAATATTCTAGTAAACAGAGACTCTAGCATATTTTAATGAAGGATGTCGGTACTAATGATACAATTTGCAACTTATCAAATTTGAAAATGTATCAATGTGAACTTTCTAGAGGTTATCTACAGCAAGAGGCATACAAAAACATATGCCTAATTTATGCGCAATTAGCTATCTTGGTCCATCCTGAGTATATAGTCTTTTCATATCCAGAACGTGAGCAGTATATAGTTCCATTTTCTTGGCCACGGCCTGTCACGGGGACAGGAAGTGATGACAAATTTCCAAATAGAGATAAAGACAGCCAGTTGTTTCTCAACTTGAGTTCTACAACTAAGTAATGAATTGACCAAATTAATATATATCTGCTGATGGAGAAGGATATCTATCTACATAGGAGAACCTTCTCTAAGATCAAAAACATTTGGGGGCAGTGGCTGGACACTACTGGGCTAGCCACTTTTGAATTGGTTAGAGATAGACTTCTGCTCTGAGATCTCCAGACATTATACCTGTGTTCTGTTTAAGCTTAGAATATTCCACTTCTTCCATATCTGGGGGTACATTCAAGTCATTGCTCATTGTTTCAGCATGTTCCTGCAACCGTTATACCTGTACCATGGTATTGGGCTGTGTATCTTTGTGTCTTTTTATTTAATGGTATTGTATTATGGATAAAGTAGATCTTTCTGATTGTATGTAACTATGTAATGTTTGAGTATGCCATGATCTTTTAATTAAGGTAAACTATTTGATGTTTGACTTTGTACTGCACTTTCTTATATTTTAAATCAAACTCATTTAAAAAAGACAGCAATAAACACATCACAGCGGGTCCAACTCTTCCCCACTCTATCGGAAACAAAATACATTTTTGCTTAAGCCTTAATTTGATTTGCCCAGGCCCGGGACAGATTTATTTTAGGTTGGCCATATATAGGGCAAGTTTTCTCCTTATTCATGAACATGAACAGTTCCACTGGGTTCCTTAAGTAGATTAGCAGATATGGGTAGGTAGGTATAGGTGTGTATAGGTAGATTTAGCTTCCAATTGCTCTACCAGGCCTCTTATTGCCATAGTTCCTCAGAGCTGATGAGAATGATCTCAGGCCCACACATAAGCACACATAGTAGTGAATGCTTCTTTTATTTCACGCTACATGCATCATTATCAGTACAGACAGGTGTCCATTTCACGTGTTGTTAATCAGTGTCTGCTGGGAATTGGAAGCAGCTCAGGATTTTTACTATGATGCAACTTCTACCTGGGAGACCTATCAATTTCACTTGATTGTGAATTGTCTTACAGTGAAATAAAACACATCAAGCTTTATTGATTTGGCACCTATGATTGAGCCTTACAATAAGTGACAGATGTACTACATTGGTGGTCTGTAAACGTTTTACCCTGTAGACATTGGGGACTGTAGAATACGTCCTCCTACTCTACATTGGTAGTCTGTGGAAAATGTCTTCTGAAACTGATGGTCAGTAGCAGAAGGGCCCCATTTACATTAGTGGTAACTGATAGAAGCACCTCCTTGCATTGTTGGTTAGTGGGAGGAATAAATGCCCTTTATAATGGTGGTCAGTGGGAGTGATGCCCCTTACACTGGTGGCCAGTGCAGTATCCCCTTGCATTAGTAACCAGTATAGAAATGCCTCCTTAGATTGCTGGTCAGTGAAAAATGCCCCTTACATTAAAGGTCAGTTGAAAATGTCTCCTGAAATTACTGGTCAGTGGAAATGACCCCTTGTATTGTTGGTCAGGTTACCTTAAGTTGACCCAATTAGTCCTGGTGTGGTAGCAAAAAGTAGTGTTTGTTGCTGCCATAACAGAACAGAGCAGTCATGTAACAGGCAGCTGAGATCACATTTGTGACGCCTCCTCTGTCCTCTATGTGGGCAATCAGTTGACCTGCTATGGTTGTAGTTGTGTCACTGATTGAGCTTAAGATTCTTCTTTATGCTTCACACCTAGTTATGGCAATTGGGTATTATTCAGTATAGATAACTTATTATTCATTACATGGGTTTAAAATGTTTTCATCATCAAATATTATACTTTTCAGTGATACGTATAATCTTTTTCATTTCATTTTCCACTAGGCTATATACACTAGATGGAACTCCTGTTCAAGATGGATCAGAACTAGAAAATGGCCAATTTTATGTTGCAGTGGGCAGGGACAAGTTTAAAAAGCTGCCATATAATGATCTGATATTCTCAAAGGCCTCTGTGAGAAGAAGTTATGGGTAAGCTTGAATTGATATAGCAAGTTGGTGCACTCTATGAATAATAATATTAGCAACGGTTTAGATTTATAATAACGTTGTTTTGTTACATTATTACATACTGCATCCATTTTAAAAGAAAGTAAGCATTCTTTTGGCCTCTTTAAGCTGACTTAATTCATTCCACCCCCCTCCCCTGCACAGATGCATACTTACCGAGTTCTAATAGGCCCAGCCTCTGTTGTTTGCTTGCATCCTGTGGTGAACACCTCCCTTTCCTGGCTGGGCCTGCGCAGTACATTCCCATTGATTTCTATTTGGCTTGGAAAGTCAGAGGGGATGCACTGGACAAGTGCAGCCAGGAGAGGAAGGCATTCACCACAGGATGTAAACAATAAACGAAGGCTAGTTCGGTAAGAACTCAGTAAGCAGGAGAGGCTGGGATCCATTAGGTCAGCTTAAAGGGGCCAAAATAATACGTGCAATTTGTTTTAAATTGCGCTTATCCTTTAAGCATTTTAATAACATTTTTTAATTCTGTCCTCTATTATATTTTCATTAGTTCAAAAGCATCCTCATTGCCTCCCATTAATGGATACAGAAAGTCTAAGGAGAATGTAAGTAAAACAGTTATCCATGTTTTTGGTTTTTATCTGTATTAATAAGTGTTGCATGTGCTAAAAAACACATATCAACCAGAAATACTCTTTCATTAGTCTTAGTACACTAAAATACTGAGAGCTGAAATCTAACTAGTTGCTACGAGAAACTGCACACTATAGATACAACAGATTACTGTTGTAATAAATTAAGTCTTGATGTTAATGAAATGTCACCAACACGTGTCGTGCTCAAGATGCATGTCTACCCTTGCTGCTTTACATTCCAGACACAGATCCTTTACTTGTGGTTTAAAGCGTTTTTTCTAAGGTCAAATGTTGTCTCACATTTTTTTTCCTGTTCCATTTAGTGGCATCACGAACAAAGACTTTACAGTTTGCGTACGGTGCTAAATGCAGGCGAACCCCTTTTTTGCACCCTGAACTTTGGGATATAATGACACTCTATATGCACTATTGTATCTTATGCTTTCAGTTTGCCTTGAAAAGGTTATTATAAAAAGGTTTAAAGGAGAACTCTGTGCAGAAATGTTATTAAACCGCTTTTACCTATGGTCAAAACTCTGCAGTGGTCTAGAAATCCTTGAGTCATCAAGTCCAATACAGTGTATAGCAGCAAAAGAAGCAGAGAGGCTGGTGGGAGTGCTGCATGCTCTGTAGATCGGGTGAGTATAACGAGCAGTTAACCCTTGCATGCAAGGCTAGCCACACTGCAAGGGTTAAAAACATTTCTGCCTGGAGTTCTTCATTAAACCAAGTCTTCACTGACCTTGCTAGCTGCATGTACTTTGAAGTAATTCATTTTCAAGGATAACACAAGAGGCTAGGGGTGCACCGATACCGTTTTTTCGGTACCCGCTGATACCCAATATCGGCACCCCAGGGTACAGTGGGCCCGGCTTCCTGATTGCCTGGGAAGCCGGTGTTCTATTGAAAGAACACCGGCTTCACGTTCCCAGGCAGCCTGGCTTCCTGACCAATCAGGAAGCTGGGCGGCACATCATGACCCGCCCCCCGACTTCCTGATTGGCTAGGAAGCCGGCTTCACTTGTTGCTAGGCAGTGTGGCTTTCTGGCAGCCGGGTCATGACGTCAGGACCTGATTGAAGAAACAAGTTAAGCTGGCTTCCTAGCCAATCAGAAGCCGGGAAGCGGGTACGAGTACTCGCTTAAATACTCTATATCGGCACCGCTACCAATACCAGTATTGGTATCAGTGCATCCCTACCAGAGACTCTGAAGTTTCGGACAGTTTCTAACACTTTTAGTACCCGCTGTTCACATTAAAAGGCTGGCATGCTGACAGAGAAAATAATGAGGAAAGAAGCCGCTAGTGCCCCCGTTATAAAATGTGAGGATGAATTTCTCAGGAGTTATATTCTTAGATTATACTCAACAATGTGCCTTTCTTAGGCAATAGCAGCTCCAAGATTCATAATTTGATTACTGCATTGATGAACATAATGAACATGATTACAGCTTTTATAACAAGTATAAAACAGACATAAACAATGGCTATTCTGTATCAATAAAATGAAACTGTCATGCTTTCATAATGCTGTTACATTTCTTTTCATCTTTGTTTAAACCATAAATGACCACTCAGTGGGAAGAGTTTAAATTACAGGAATAGTAATTGTGCCAATACCTGTACTACAGGCCTTGTGTGATCCCAGCTTTGAGTGGCTTTCTCAGCTCAGATAATCTTCTGGAATGTATTTATTTATGTGGTTACTAGAGGAACTGCAATAACCCAGAGGATTTGTTTGATCCACAATATAATGGTGGATAATTAGGCAGGTTGTTATAGTTGAGATGTGATGCATTCTGCTACTAGGGAAACTCACATCAAAAATGCAACCAGGTTACATCCCTTAGGTCCTTAACACCTTGGAAAAATCCCCCTGATGCTATAGGCTTGGCATTGGGGATAAAAGGTGCTGTAGAAGCAGATTATTGTGTAGTGTAAACATTAAACTAGCTGCTCTTTTATTTTCTCGAATATTTATTTTATTTGCTTTTTCTCGATTACAAGGCATTGTTACTAAGGTGAGATTGTAAATCAAGTATTTTTGTTTTATTTCATTGGTATGATTATTATTAAAGGCTCAATCCACCTAAAACCAAATACCAGATTTGGGTATACTCAAGCAGGGTAAAATACCTATTTTCTGCTGTGGACCAAAGCTCAGCAATTGGGAACGCTACTGACTTGCCCCTGCCATCACAGGAGGTCTAACTCTAAATGCATCAGGATGAGATAAGCTGGCCATACACCTATAGATTATCTGCAGATTTTCTATGGTCAGATGGAAAAAGTGCAACAGATTCCTTCATCTATGCTAAATTGTGTGGATGGAGGAATCTCCCACTGGGCCAAACTTCAGTATCTTGCTATCTGGCTCTCAAAATACCTGAACAATACTTGCATCCAATCAGATGTTTAAGGTATTTTGACAGCCAGCGGGGCCGACTAGCAAGATACTGAAGCTCGGCCCAGTGGGAGATTCCTCCATCCACACAGTTTAGCGTGGACGGAGGAATCTGTTGCACCTTTTCCATCTGACCGTAGAAAATCTGCAGGTAATCTATAGGTGTATGGCCAGCTTAAGACTAACTTTCTTGGCTTTGTAGTGGTCATGATGAAACCGCCAGTCATAAAAAGCCAGTGGGTGATTTAAAATAATAGCCTCATGTAGCCTGCACCCTTAAACAAATCTGTATGCATACCTTTTTTCCAGGTGTCTCCTGTCTGGTGCAGTAACATCACAGGTCCTCTTCTTCCTCCATTGTTGGATGGGTCCTAAAATGCTGCCATTACTGGTGGCACTGAATGATGTAACATTGCTATTTAGAGCATTCTCCTGGAACAACAGGAACTACTTTTTTTAATTTTAAGAGCTGCTGGGGGATCCATTTGTTTGTTTTTTACCCAAGCTAGATTGGGTTTTTTCGGACTTCTGTAGGGACTGACAATACTTCATTCATTTTGAGCTGCTACACAACACCTGGCTGTCGTAGTGGAGCTAAACTGCCAAACACAGATTACATAATGGGCAATATTTCATGCCCCACCTTTTAAAATAAATGCTATGAAGTAATATACTTATTATAAAATACGATTCACTCCAGTTAATCAACTTTATACAAGGTGAACTGCCAGGAAATCATTACATGTGGAAGTGTACAAAGGAAACACAGAAAGGGCAAACCAGGATACACACTAAAGAAGACTGATCTATGACATCGTGTTAAACAAATATCTAGAATATGCTTTTAGATGATTCACTTATGTAGTAAAAGTTAACAACATTAACCCAAAATACAAAATGAATCAAATGTTAAATAGAACTTAGGTTGTAGCAAAGGCATTAGCAATACACTTATCAGTTTTCTTAAAGCTTATTCCAGTTAAAGAACTTAGGGGGGAAAAAATCCTTAACCCTTGCAGTGGGGCTACAGACGCACTGCAAGGGGTAAGTGCTTGTTTATGTCTAGGTTCAAGAATAACAACGTTATTCTCACCTGATCCTCTGAGACAGCTGGCTCTTAGACCAGTCCTTGGAGCCTCTCTCCCCCTCCGCTGCAGCGGTCGAAGTTCCTGTGAGTCATCATGTTCTTTACACAGTGTAAAGAATGTGAGGACTCTGAGGGATATACCATCGCTGCAGTGGAGTTTTTTTTAAACTAGACACAAATGAGCGCTTATCCCTTGGGTAACATTTTTTCCCCCAGTGATCTGCTTTAAAAAAAAGAAGAAAAAGCCCTTGCAGTGGGCTACCCCCACACTGCATGTGTTAAGGACACACTTTTTGTCTAGGGGAGAGAGATGAGCACTGAGTTCTGGGGGAGCAGGGATCAGCTAAATAAAAGTCTTCTTCACCATATTCCTAGACATAAATGGGCAGTTAACCTTTTTTTTACCTGGAGAAACGCTTTAAAGAGACATCAACAATCTTTGCCTAAGATTATATGTGCATTTAACATATTTTAGGTATGTTATTTACTTCAAGCAACACTGTAGTATTCCCCTTCACTCCTCCCGTGGCTGCTACATAAAAGGTTTTGTAGGGTGGCAGGGAGTGGAGGAGCTGGGCCGGTGCAGGCAGTAATTAGACACTCCTAGAAGCCGCCTGTGATAGCACTCCCTCCTGCCTATCTCCTATGCTGCAGCGATGGTATGTCCCTCAGCTTACTCATGTCCTATACACTGTGTATAGAACGTGATGACTCAGGGATCTTAGACCGCTACAGTAGAGGGGGAGAGAGGCTCCATGAAGCAAGCCTGCTCAGAGGATTGGGTGGTAATAAATGAGCTCTTATCCCTTGCAGTGCAGAGGTAGCCCCACTGCCAGGGTTAATAGAATTTGTACCCAGTATTTTGCTTTAACTACCTCCCGGCCGGCCGGGAGCTTCTTGGATGCAACTGGGCGTGTATACACGTCCTGTTACTTCCGCCCGTCCGGGCGCTCGCGAGCGGGAAATGCCCGTTATTTGAAAACAGGCAGCGATGCCCGTTATTATACAAGCTATCCGCCGGCTATAGAGGTCCCGTAACGTGCGCCCGCCCGCCCCTCCGCGGCTCCCCGCCTCCCGCTGTCAGAATGCGGAAGTGGTGTATATTACATCACTTCCGCATTCTCGTGCCACTCTCCAGCTTCAGATGCTGTAGAGAAGCTGATGAAGCAGATCTCTGCTTCATCAGCTTCTTCAGGGGGGTCCTAGGTGACATTAGGGGTCTTGGAGACCCCTGATGTCTCCATAAAGAGGACCTATCACCTCTTTTGCTATCACATAGAGGGGTTTCTTAGCCCCCTCTGTGATAGCAATAAAGTTAAGTGACTTAGCCCCCTCTGTGATAGCAATAAAAAAAAAAATATGAAAAAAATTTAGTTTCCCCCCAAATTTGTTTAAAGTTACACATAAAAAAGAATTAAAAAAAACAATTTTTTTTAAAAAGTCCCCACCCCTACATACACGCATGTAAACATGCGTCAGGTGCGCATTCCTGCAAAAACGTCGATTGCGCCCATTACGCCGCACATGTTACATATCGCCGCGAACGTCGCAGTGAGAGCAATAATTTTAGGGCCATCAATCACTGATAACACTAAACTGATGAGCGGTAAAAGCTTTTAAAGCGTCGCCTATGGCCAATTTTGGGTATGCTAGTTTTTTTGCGATTTCGCGAGTGCGCGCAATTTTTAAGCTTGACATGTTTGGTGTCTATTTACCCGACGTGACCCCGTCTTTTATATTTTTCCAAAAAAGTGGGTAATATTAGTTGTTTTATAACATAATGTAAAAAAAAAATTTTCAGTAATTTCTCCTGAATATAGTAAAAAATAAAACCCCCAGTGGTGATTAAAATACCACCATAAGAAAGCTCTATCTGTCCCCAAAAAATGGTACAAAATTAATTTCAGTACAGCGTTGCATGACGGAATAAATGTCAGTCAAAGTACTGCAGCGCTGAACACTGAAAAATGGCCTGGTCAGGAAGGGGGTCTAAACATCTGGTCTTCAAGCGGTTAAGATACTTTTTTTTTTTGTGCTTTTACCTGCAATTGTTTAGGTTGGTGACAGAGTTTCTTTAAAGTAACATTTGATCTAAAACTATAATTTCCAGTGCCTTTCATTTTGGTTTATGGTAGTAACATATAAATGGAACATTTTCAAGCATGATTTAGTAATTAAGTGTCATAAAAGCATTTAGTTTCCAATCCATCATATTGTAGTTCTTCAATTGTATTTATTTTTCCAGATTTTGGCACATGCTGTACACATCTTACCCACTGGGGGGCATCCCACTTCTCATAATATCAACTCAACAGAAAAAAAGCATTCAGTGGGTTCCAGTTTGCTGAATCTGGATGTGTGAGTGCAGCACAAAGATCACTCAATGAACAATCCAACAAACCTTCACCAGGCTGTAATATCATTTACTACATAAACAGAGGCAGAAAGGTGAATGCATCTGTAAGGGGAAGAGCACAGGGCAGCCTCATTTATCTGTGGAAGCCACATATCCATTACAGATTCTCGCTTTCTGCTCCATCTGTTCATACAATTGGTAAATTGTCATGGTTTTTGGGTCGTGCATGGAATGATCGTGCATTAAATGAAATGCACTTGAATGATAGAAAAAGAAAATACAATATAATAAGTAAGAAAATATTATTAAAAAACACTCTTACATGTGTGGAAAATTTAGAGCTGTTTAAATCTTTCCAATATCCAATATAAGTCAGTGTTTCATAAAATTCTATCTGCTTTTGATCTGGGGTTGCATCAGTTGGTCAGGTCTGGGTTTAGCAACGTTATGTCCCCCCAAAAAAATTAACTGCCTACCTGAATATACCACATGACCAGGTTTTTCCATCAATTGATTTTTTACTTCCCTGATGGTACAGGCATATTCCAAGATGACAACGTCAGGATTCATTGGGTTTAAATTGTGAAAGAGTGGTTCAGGGAGCATGAGACATCATTTTCACACATGGATTAATATGTTGACATCACCTGAGAGTATTTATCAGTGGACTTTAAAATTGATGTTCAGTTTTGACTGGCGTGTACTTTTCCGGTTCTTAAAGCGGACCTCTACCTCCTTTTACTATAAAATACAGCAGCATGCATATCTACATGCTGACTTAAAATGATCTTACATTCATTAGTTAAACAAACGTGTTTTTCATTTATTTACAAATAGAGGTCATCTATTTCCTGGTCCATTTCTGGCACAAATGATGTAATGTGCCAAAGCGTTGCATCTTGGGAAGGGAAGCATTGCTGGGAAATCTCATCTGTAATCTCATGAGAACTCAGGGAAAAGGCATTTTCCTTCTCTGAGATGATGTGCATGGTCACATGTCCTAGTCACATGTCTAGTCACGTGCCATAAATCCAGGAAGTAATAGGAGAGCTACTAACCTGCCGTTAGTTAACATGGCCACTGTCAGTAGACTGGGGAAGAAAAGAGAAATAAGGTATGCAAAGAATACAAAGCTGGCAAATATCTAGAAGTATGTGTTTTTAGATTGCCATTACTAAACATTTCTAAAGGTGTGTTTGTTGTTAAAGGTCTGCTTTAACAGCATCTTACGATAGTTTTTTGGTTGCTATGGGTTATTACACTTTGCACATCATCAAAGCTCTGCATTACGTTATTGTTTTTCTCCAGCCTTGCTTTAGTGAGAAGCAGAAGACCAGAAAGGGTTATACCAATATACATCTTTCTAGATTGTCTGTTTGCTTTTATTTTTATGGGCTCTAGATAGTGTTGCCCTCTCCAATTTTTATAGACTATGCCTGTAAATCCATTGGATAAAATTGTTATTTTTTTAATATTTACTTCTACTCAAAAGAAGCTGTTTTCTTGTACAGTCTATGCGTATCTCATGTCACTCAATTGACACATATCTTACATGTGTGTTTAACGCTCTATTTTATTGAACCATAGTATAATATTTAACGCATTTATATGGATATATTTTCAACAAAAATAAATTAGGAGGAACAATAAAACGTTTTGTTTTTTTATCAGATTTATTAGAACACTTTGTTATGCACAATAATTCTGCTCTACTATGCATGGCAACAGCTATATTTGATTCTTTGATATTCATATTTACTCATGAACATCAATGTGATTTTTCCTACAGAGACATGAACGCCAAATTAAATCCACTGGTGGATCCACTGATACTGTAGACAATCTCATTTCTCCTCAACCACCGAAGCCTAAGCCCAAGAAAAATCCTGAATCTCAAATACTCTACAAACCAGTCCGAGTGAAACAGAAAAAGGAAATGAACAATAACATCATTTACACCGAAAATGGTAAGTCATTTCAATCTTCACCTACTTCATACATGTATGTTTGCTGATAAAGATTTTCAGTAGAATGCCTGTCATCTCTTTGCTTCTGATGCAGCATGACCGGTAACGGTAGTTGCAACTTCGTATTTCATTTGCAGCACCACCCACTGGAAAAATCTGTTATTACAAGCCTTGTAGCGATATTTAATAGAATTTCTGTAACAAAAGATGACTGGTTTGGATTGTCTCTTTGTTTACATGGTGGCTACGGGGAGAGGGTGGAGACTGAAAATGGAAATTCCTTTTAACAGAAATGTTTACTTAAAGGAGAACTATGAGGTGAGTGATTTCCACTCATCCTCATAGTTAGAGCCAACCTGTGACAGAGAACCTGTCACAGGTCGGCTTTATCGATCAGGAAGTGAGCAGAAACTTCCCCCGAATCGCTCACTTACTGATCATCTCCCTACAGGGAGCGGTGACTGTCTATGGAGATAATCAGTCACCTTTCTTTATCATCCATTGAAGGATTCTCGATGCACTTTAGTAATTCTTAGACAAATAATGAGTTATTCTGATGCCTTCAGAAGTTTGGAATACTGGCAAACAAAAAAATGTAAGGCTAGCCCCTGTATAACTCCTCCTCCAACTGTCAATCCTCCGTTTTTTGCTAGTATCCTAGGAGGTTGCAGTCACCAGATTTTTTTCTTCAATCAAGACTTCAAAGATGCTGCTCTAAGTGTGGCCCCTGATTGAGATTCTTTAGATGGAGCTGAGGAACATAAGATAGAAGTAATTTTCCCTGTGTGTTTTTCACTCTCAGGGGTACATCCTTAACCAGTGAAAGTGGCCATAATGCAGTATTTTCCTGATATTACATTCAACCTGGAAAGCAAATAGACTAATAACATACATTTTTGCTTCCATTTGTAGAGAACAAATGTACATACAGTTTCGCAAGACAAATGGCTCTGCAAATTTTTTAATAGATACACCCATTAATGATATGATTTCCACATTCGTTCGTGCTTTTGGAATTACTAAAGTTTCTGTGTCCCTCAATGGATGATAAAGAAAATATGATTTTTGTACTTATCGTAAAATCTTTTTCTCTGGGCCCATTGAGGGACACAGGTCTTGCCCCCATGAGACATTGGCCTTATGAATTGCTTGTTAACAAACCTAAAGGATGATGGTTGGATCCAGGGTTATAGACGGTCTGGATCAACCTTTTTCGTCCCAACCTCCTGAAGGCAGCAATATACCACATTTGTCTATGAATTACTAAAGTCTTGTGTCCATCAATGCATTTAAAGAAAAAAAGATTTGACAGCAAATGGTAAAATCTTATTTTTTGTGCAGTTCAGTTGTAGTAGTAAGTATTTGCTTAATCCTATGTGTTAGCAGGAGAGTATCTTTTGGGTCCTGGATTTGGACTGACTAATATTATTGCCAATCACTTTACTAACTACGTTGTATTCCACCATATGCCTTTTCTCATCACGTTGATTCATAGTAAGAATTACAGGAAATGTAGAATTTGTATCGCAGGATCAGGGTCTCCATCCCATCCAGGCATGGGAATTACTTCAGTGGTTTTATTGTGTGTGATGTTACATTGAAATGCTAGATTACAATAGTGAGATAGAAATCCACTAGCTAGTTCAGCCCTGATACGATGCCATGCAATTTTAAATTGTCATATTCTAGAAGCAGCATCAAACATCTAAATTGAATGGAATATATTTTATGAAATAAGGTTCACTATCTTATTTAATGCTTGATGGAATAAAGATAAAAAGTAAAGTACTTTGTGTTGGCCACAAGGGTGGAATAGTATTTCTTGATCCATTTAGGTTCTATCGCTTACGTCTAAAATGGTAAGAAATCGAGTTTGTCGGTTCACAGCTGTCTCTCTGGATACCTTATAAATCCAAAGCTATTTTTGTAATGACGTTTCTGCTTTGTTCTCAGTAAATTTTATCTCACCAAGCTCCTCCGTTGTAAACGTATACATCTCTAGACTCTAATATATGTTGTCTACCTTATCTGCTGCTGGTAATTTTTGTAGCTTATCTTACAGTGCACACGGGGATTTTCATGACTTTACATCTATATAACTCAATATTTATTCAGTTTTTAGTCTATAATAAATAGTGACTGATGTTGCTTAACCTTTAGGATTAAATTCAGTCTACCCTATTTATACCATCTTATAACCAGATCTGTAACTAGGAGTTGAAATAATCCAAAAACATGTTTTTAGTTTTGGGTTGATGAAGGTTATTGAAAAACCTATGGGCATTTTAAATAGGCAAGATGTCTAAATCTCAGCTGCAAGTTTATCTCAAGAGGTCAGTACTGGCTTCTACTTATATATTTGCTTGGTTTAAGGACATAAATTAGGCAGATAAAGATTAAAACTAGAATGGAGGTTATTTTGAGTCTTCAAGAGATAAGTCCTCGGGTTCAAATGTGTGCATTCTTTATTGAAGGTGGAGGTGTTGCTCTTTCAATCCACTCCAACATCATCTAGTTAAAAGTTCGGGTTTTGCCTATGGCAACTACTTAGAAGTCCTGCATCATCAAGTCTAATGTGGAGGTATAGCTCATAGTACCTGCTGAGACTACAGAGTTGTCTTGTCTTCTAGCTTAAAAATGAGACTACCATGGTCATTATAAACAACTGCTCCACTTTTCCTTTCAGTTACCGTTATACCATGTATTGAACCCCCCCCCTCACCCCCAGAGGCCTACGGTGGACCCAAAGGGTAGGGGGGCTGGCATTTCACTCTCAGTGGTACATCCTTAACCAGTGAAAGGGTGCGGTCAATAGATTGGGCATCTGTCACTTTAAGTACTTTTTCAATGCTTTATTAATGAACAGCAAAACTGGGAGAGAGGGTATATGGTTTCAAACATCCATTGCAAAAATAGACAGACTTCAGACTCACCATTCCCTTCAGGATTCCACAGTGCAGAGAATACTTCAGTAGGACAGGAACTGACACTATGTATTAGAACATCAGCTGAATAGGGATGTGCATAAGTTCTTCCCTGGGAGAGACACCAGACTTGTTCCTGAGGTCCATGTCAGCTCCTGGTACCTCCAACAATCATAAGGCTCTTCTGGTTCTCCTCACCAGATAGCTCCAGAGCCCAACTGGGTCCACATGTGGCCTCCTCCATGCTTGAGGCCTAGTCAGCTTTTCCAACCTTGTACATGCCACCCCAAAGCCAAGCTCTGGGGCGGACTGCCCTGAGCACATAGCAATCCCTAAGTATATATGCACTCCCTCAGCATGCACCACTGGCCATGGAACTACTAGTGATTGGCTGGTGAGACATAGACACTCCTAATGTTCCCCTATTGGCTGCCCCACTCTGTAGCAGGGTCACACCCTACTCACAGGTAGGATCAATCAACAGCGGAACACCTAGAATTAACCAGATGATGCCAGACTACAAATCAGCTGTACTGATTACAATGTCATCAACACTAGATTTTAGTAGCCACTCCACTTAAGGTGGTAGGGGCTACACTTACCTTACCTAAAACTACATGCAAAATAATCTAAATTACATTATTATGCTACTAACCAAACTTTATTTTCTGGAATTATGTTGCTTTTTCTCATCCACAATTGTGACATTGACAAGTACCTTCTTACATTTGAGATGGGTCATTCATTCATTATACCGTGTTTCAATTACCCCATTTGAAGTTCTTAATTAAACTTTAATAAATTTCCCATATGTTATTGCAGTGAATCTCTTTTTTTATGAAGCATAACCAGATGATAAATGGCTTAATTAAACAAGTAATTAACTGTTCAAATAAGTTACCTGGTAGATATCAGTGTAGAGAAATGACATTTTTGGCTGTCACATATGTTCGCATGAAGCCTTGGCACTCTGGTTGTGCAGATGCCTTCTGTAGCATATAAACAGCTCTGGGTTGTTAATGACATTTTTTTTTGCTAGAATTGTATTTAGCTAACGGCATATGTGCTCCTATATATCATGTATAGTCATACAATGCAGAATGGCAAAGGGTGTAGTGGCCCAGTGGCAAGCCTTGCTGTTATACATCTCTGGGTTACTGGCTTGGAATGGATCCAGTGCCTTGTGTAGGTCTTAAGCTCCATCTGTTTTTAGTTTTTTTACCTAATTTGACTTTGTAGAATTGGCGCGAGTGTGTATATATGTGTATGATTGATATCCTGTAAACTGTTTCCAAATGTTCAAAACAGCATCAAATAGCAGAGCATTGCAGTTACAAGGACTATAAACTTCTACAGAGCTCTGTTATTTGACATGTTATGTACACTCAGAAGATGGCAGGCAGTTGACAAAGCAGAAGTCCTGAGAAGCTGAAGTGTCAAAGTTAAAGGATAAGTTCACCTTTTGCAAAAATGAAAGAAATGCGTAATTAATAATATATAAAAATATATGCATTTCTTTAATATTTGCATTCAAGCCTGGAAAGCATTGCAATCGTGATCACTCGATCACAGCTACAAAGTACAGGCTTCTGCACATTCTCTCCCAGTGTCAGGGTACCATGCACAGGCGTCCTCACACCACATGCAGGTACCCACGCAGAATGATTCAAAGGTGAACTTATCCTTTAAAATAAGTAAAGCCAAATAGAAGGGCACAAATGAATCTTTAATAAAAGGGCCTGCACCTTTAAAATCATTCAGAATATCCCATTTCTTGCATAAGCCCAGTTCATGACTTGCTCTCTTTAAATATTTTTAAATGCTATACTAATATACTCATTTCATGTACTAATGCTATAGTAAATGGATTTTTAAGAATTTTTAAAAATGAACCGTAGTTCTACTTCAAAGGAAATCTGTACTGAGATAAATAAAGAAGCTACTTTTGCCGACCTTCCAAAAACCTAGTTGTCTGGCTCTCTTTGACTTCAGTACTTCATGACATTGTCCTGGAATAAATTCAAAACTCATCTACATACTTATCTTGGTTGGTGAACGAAATTGGTGAAATATTTA